CTGTTTTTTTTTTTCCCCGCCGCTATGGATTTGGGGAGGAAGCAGCAAGAGAAGGGGCAGGATGCAGAAGGCACTGCATAAAAACACGGAACACTGAATTTCCATCTCTTTTCATATCTGCCCCAGAAACCTGATTCTTGAACTTATTTAATCAAGAAACAGGGCCATGACATTGTACAGAGAGGCTAATTTCATAGCATGTAAAAAGAGGATTTGCTTGGGGAGAACACACTGTACATTTTGCATATATAAATCCAAATATATGCAACTGGGGCTGCCTGAAGCATCGGTGGAGTCAGGGCAACCAGAAGTTTTGGCTTATTTAATAAAAACATAAATGCAAGACTCTGCTTTTCCAAATAAAACATTTGGGATCTTCCCCTGCTATGGAAAATTTCCAAACCTCAGATTTCCTTTCTGTGCCAGTTTAAGCTGGAAATTTCTATCAGAAGGTTAAATCCTGCTAGCCCAACACCATGCACTTCCTCTGGCTGAAGCTGGAAAGGATATAGCAACTTATCACAAAAAACTCACACTGGAAACATTACACTTCACCTGCTTTCATATTTAAGCCACCAGGCTATGAGAAGTAGAAAAGAAAGGGAAGAAAAAAATGGCAGAAGACAGATGCAGGTTCAGAACTGTGCCCTCAGACTGCTCCTTTCAAACAGATGAGCAGCTGGATATTGAGTTGGTTACACCAGCTAATTCTTTTATTTTCCAATTACACTCTACATTGTGATCAATATCTGCATCTAACTGAAAGGACAGGCTTTTCCCTTAGAGCTTACACTTTCTGACTCCAACGTGCACAAAAAGAACTTCCTTCTTCAGTAATTTACAACCTCAAAAGGAGAGGGTACCAGCATTTCTGAGGCCTGGGCTTTGAATCCGTGTAATGAAATTGTCTTATTTTTAACTGTCTGAGCAGCTTTCAAGCAGAAGCGTGTTAGAATTCATATTAATTTGTGCAGTACCCTATCATCATCATAATTTAGCTCACAAGGTTGCTGTGCTTGGAATTCCAGTTATGACATGAATTCTATACATTTTATACAGATTTATAAATGGCATCAATAGAACACTTAGGGCCTTATTCATTAAACAATGAGTCATTCTGGCATTCCATTCTATTTCATCCCAGTTCTTACAAAACTTTTATGTACAAATTTGGCTGTACTTAATGCATCTGATTTAGCAGCAGAAGTGTTGCAGCATAGTTTCAGCTGGGTGTGGAAGCAGATGAAAGGCTTGTTTGAAAGAAGAGGAAAAAAAAAAATCCCTCTAACGGTAAAAGCTGTCTGAGCTCTAGCCCACTAAAGGCCACCAGCAGCAGGAGGACAGACCCCTGAGAGCAGCTTACCGGGTCGCAAGCCTTCAGATACCAGTTCTGCTCCTCCTTCTTCAGGGCTGTTAGGTTGGGACCTTCACAAGCATCACAGCCATGCGAAAACACAGAAGCAGAAGAAAATTTGCAAGAGTGCACCATTGCAAGCATGAGCGCCCTGTCCAGCGAGCCAAAGCAAAAATCCCAAATCAGCAGTGAACCCAACACTTCAACATTGTCTTGAACACGTTTGTCAAGTACCATCAAAATGCAAGAGGCATAAAGACTTCAATTAATATGCACTTTGCAACTGTGGCACCAGAGAGCTCTAACAACCGTGCGGTACCACAACATGAATGTTCAAAATAAATTCTATAAGAGTCTAGAGTCTTCGCATGGATTGGACATTTTTGTGTGTTTTAAATGAGCAGTGAGTTGAAAATAAAAAGACTAAACCAAAATAGGACATGTCACTTCTGACGAATGTATCAGGGCTACAAATAGTGACTAGCAGCATGTCTACGCTGCAAAATATAGGACCAATGCTTGGTAAATTCTACCTTAATCTAGGCAGAGCATATAAAAATAGCAATGAAGTCATGATGGTATAGGTTTTAGCATGTTCTAGCAATCAGAGCACAAAGTCTCCAGGGACACGCTGGTTACTAGCCAGTGAAAATTTGTCTGAACTGTTCTCATTACTTCATTCAGTTCAGTTAGTGCAGGTTAACTGGTATATGCTGCAAACAGCTCTCCATTTTGCAGTCTGGACATCTCACCACGCTGCATTTTACGTTTTCTTTGTCCTTTCAGCCCTCCTCCTGACTGCACGGAAGCCATATCGCTGTGCTTCACTGTAGAAATGGACAGTGAGATCGAAAAACATTACGGGGCCATTTGTGAACGTTCACATCGCTGCTCCCGCCGCCCGCCAGCCAGGCTGTACAAAGGCTGCCGCAGCACCAGAGTCCTGGAGGTCACTGCTCCTCTCGCAGTGTGATTGCAGCTAGAAAATGGGCTCAAAAGTTGTTGAAAAGAGAGAGGGGAAGAGATACACACAACCGTACATAAAGCAAGGGAGTATGCTGGTGGAAACCATCACACAACATCACGCTTTGGATGTTTGCCGTTTTCCTCAGTACATATATAAACACCGGTGCTTATTTTTTTTCTCTTTGCCCTTAATAAGCTATTGCAAATTTGGAATCTATTTCACTATATATTCCTGTACATTAGGACACTATCTACCTAGCAATAACCATGCCAGTAAAGGCACAATACTATTTGCCCCCACTGCTTGTAAGAGAAAACGGGGTCATTTGTTCAAATAAAACACACCATCTCGTTTTCATTAATTCTCTCACCATGATACTTCTGGTATTTCATTTCATGTTATAGACTTAAAGGGACAAAAATGAGATCAATGTTTAGATTTTATTATTGCAGCACAAGCAATTTTCTGGAAGGTGGGTTGTTAATTTTTCATTTTACGTTCCAATGGACGTGTTCTCTTAAAGCCGTTATTATAAATCCTACTATTCACAGGTTTATTGAATAAAAATTGGGAGTGGAACAGTAATGGAAGAGAATTAAAAACAAGATGCTTATTTATTCATTGCCCAAGCTGGAAAAAAACAGAATTGGCCATTAAAGGAACTGCTCAGGGCCAGCCACCCTCCTTTAACTTCATCCTCTTCTCATCTACAGCTCACGAGTTGCTCCTTTACTCATTGCAAGAGGTCCACAATTGTAACACTGCCATATACTGCTGGAAATTTATTTAAATGGCATATGATAGAAGCCATATGATAGAAGCTTAATTACATAGAGGGCATATGGAAGGCATATGACATAAGGACATATGGAAGGCATATGATAGAAGGGCATCCGAGGACATATGACGGAAGTCTAATTAATTGACAATACATTTCTCTCATCAGGGGGAGAGTTGGAATGCTATTTTGTTCAGAAGAAAAATATGCACATTGAATTATACTTATTGTCAGCTCCCATGTACCACTGACCATTCTCCAGTTTAATTATTACTCCCTGTTCTTCAGAGAAAGACAGATCATTTGATTTGCATATCCATCTGGCACACAAAGTTAAGTTTTACAGCAACAGATGTGTGTGTTAGTACAAATAACCATTATTTTTGAACCTTGAGAAGTTCTGTAATACCTGAGCAAAGCAGGTCTAAAATGTTACCACCAAGAAGAAAAACAGAGTGATCTTATTTGGGTGCAATTAACATCCATTTGTAAAGGTGTTCCTGCATGAGTACCTAACACGTAAAGAATGTACCCTTATGGAATAACTCTGCATTAGATGTGAGTCAGTGCTGCTTATGGATTTACATCAGCCGACAATTCGCCCTTCTATCTGCAAAAAGATTTATGGGGGGGAAAAACAAGATACTGCCTAAAATGTGCCAAAAAATATTCTTTCCTAACTAGCTGCATATGTTTAATGCATCCGCCTTCACGAAACACAGAAGTGACGCTGTGTTAGCTGCGATTCTTGTCTTGTCCTAAGGAACTGCAGAGTTATCAAATGTGGATAGGCCTATCTGTAGTCTCTTTGAAAGCAAAATGGAATAAACACCCCAGTAATCCACTCTGCATCGCTAGTGCTTGAGCACTGGATAACACCCAACAGCTCCTCTCCATATTCAACAAACAAGGGTATGCAAATTTTACAGCTTTCAAGTGCCGTTTTAACCGAGAAATATTCTCCTAGGTTATTTAGATATCTAAAACATTGCTATCGTTTTCACACCCTTAGATTAACCCAACGAAGCACATTTTGGGCCTATTCCGTGCTTTTATTCAGTGACTTATAACGCTTGTCCACTAGCAAACTTGCCACGTTATTTGTGGGAATTCACCAACTCGTGTCAGAAGATGCAGCAAAACACGTGTTCTGGGCCCTGACTAAGTGTTAGGGCAACCACCTTCATCCAGACTGTCAGGGCACCCAAAAACTGAACACTGCCCCCTGAGTCCTGAGTTCAAACGTTACCCGATATTGGCCAGAAATGGGCAAATAAAACAGTAGATTTCACTAGCAGCGAGGAATTTGGGCACCTTTCCTAAATTCTAGGTGCCTAAGATACCTTTGAAATATCATCTGCAGCCCATCGGCCCAGAAGAACCGCAGATGTTAGCCTGCCAGCCCATAGCTCAAGGCAAGGACTTGCTTTTCTTTGCTGTCATGAACACATGTGTTCTCAGTATGTGCCCCTTCTCCACACAGTGCCCTTAAATTCAGAGGCGGCTGCACAGCAACTTGATGAAAAGTTCTGCAAGGGAGAACCAAACTACCTCTGCTAGCAGTGCCCAGAGCCATCAGCCCATGAAACACCCAGCTGAACTGTACAAGCCTGGAAAAAGCTTAAGAACTGCCATTTTAGCCAGCTATAGTCACTAATGAGGACCCCCTAATAACAGCTTTCTTGAAGACTGTGCAGATTTTGGTTCTCCTACAAGAAGCTTTACAGGCTTTGCCCGCAAGCATCACTACTAGCCCATACTCTTCCTCAGAGGCAGTGAGTATGCAAGGTCTCGTCCTGCTACCGGCTGCAGTATGGTTTAATGCCTGGACCACAGTCAAAGACTAGAGGAAAGGGAAACCCACGTATGTATCTCAATAAAATTTACAACACTGAGTGTTTTTCCTATTACCTTTGGAGCCTTCTGATTGCTGACTGCGAAGGCAGTAACACTGCCATGTTGCCATGGTGCTTTTTAGGAATGTCACACATTGCACTGCTCAAACGCTAATAAAGACAGACAAGCATTACTAGTCCACTGAATTTGCTGAACACTCAATCATACAGCACCCGTAAGCAAAAAATGCTGAGAGAATGAACATTTCTGAAGTTCTAGAGAAGCAGAAGACAAGAAAAGATTTTCCAGCTGCATCTTACCTGCTCTTTTCTGTTCCATGTGTCCAGAGCAAACACTGCTGAGGAATTATGGTCGCTCATCACGCCGTTCTGTGCAAGACCCAAGGAAAGCTAGGAGGTTGTACAGTTATCTCCCTTGGTGTAATTCTAAACTATACAACCTACTACCTCAACCTGGATGCATGCAGTCAAAAATGCTGAAAGCTACCCACCATTTCACAGCAGACATAATATCAGGGTCTCTAGTTAAAAAAAGGTCCTCAAAATTCTCATAGCTCTACTTTAGAAGTGATAAATGCTTTGCTGGTGAAGACACCAAAGCTCCCCACACTGCATATGTTCACAGATGAAACACAGTAAGCCACAGTTATTACTGCTGGGTATAAACGAGATCATGGTCACTTTTCTTTCATGAAGGAATTTTGTCCTTGGCCCCAAAACTGCTGTTTCCCATCCATTGCAGATGGGGTTGGACTACAGCACAGAACACATACGTACTTTTATTTTAGAGCGCTTAAAGGCTGTTTAGAACAAAAGCTGTCCTAACATCTCTCTTCCCTTTTGAGCACTTAAAATATTGACCTTCAAACACACATCCTGGCTCCTGAACATTTAAAGGACGATCAGAGAAGGGGAATTAAGATAACTGCAAAAAGGGGTAGAAAGTTTTAAGCAAATTTTACCCTTCTACTAATCCCTTGTTAAGATTCATGATTTTTAAATGAGATATTGAGCCTCTACGAACAGTCAGAATAAAATGATGTCCCCTTAACAGGGAACACATGACATTTTTTACTTGGATTCACTCACAGTCAAACAACCAGGATGTTATCATTGTGACTCATTCCTATTACCCACCAAGGTATTATTTAAAGCAGTAGGCTGCCTATTTATTACGGCTTACAAACAGGGATTAACATTTTAAAATACGCCAGCGGAACCGAGTCAGTCCCGAGATCCTGCCTCCCAGGTGAACGCATCCCTCGGCACAGCAGCTCTGTGCTGGAAGGGGATGACAAGGGAACCGGACCCAACGAACAGCGAGTGTGCCGAATTGATGGCATCTTGCTTGCCCATGTTTTCTTAGGATCAAGTGACATCGCTGCTTATGAAAAAGCCAATGCTCTACCCTTTCACATATTATGACAGAAAATTCCTTGCAATTAATATTCTTGGGCCTAGATAACCTCTTTTTTTCTCAGGTTGGCAAACGCCACCGCTGAGTGTTTTTTTCCTGACTCTCCACCTTTCCTATCACAGCTCCAAGCCCTCTTCACCGCCACGCTTGCAATACAAACCCCTGAGCTCTCAGCTCGATGCTGGCACTTCCTCAAGGAGCATCTCGCTGTCTCGAGCAGGGGAGCTGAGCCCCGCTTGACGTACGTGATCCCCCCCAGCAAGGACCCGCTCTAAGCCCTTGGGACAAAGTCTCAGCAGGGAAATATCCCAGTCTGAGTTACCACACAGACCAAAGGCCTTCTAGCAAATGTGATGGTGCTAAACAGGCATTTTTGGGGACTTTATGGTACCTGTGCCCACCTTACAGCTCCCTCAGTGAGCTACAGAAGGGGACTTTATGGTACCTGTGCCCACCTCAGTGAGCTACAGAAAGAGATTTTACACAGACTGTCCAGGAAAGCATCCTCACCTATGAAATCTCAGCATCAGAATTACAGATATCTTGTTTCCACTCCTTTAAACTCAAATGAAGCTTACAGAGATTAAAATATATTTGCATCCCAGAGGAACCGTAATTTCAAGCAGAAAAGGAGTCATGCATCTAGTCACTGTCAATTAGAGTACCTGCTACTATTACTGACATTAGGATTCGAGATCAAATATTAAAACAAAAGTCATCTAATTACAGCCACCTCAGCACCTTCACTACATCTATCAATGCCCGGGTATTTGGTAATTAGATACGTGCTATACAAATTCTTCTTTCAGGAGGAAATCAAAATAGATGCATAGCACCAGGGTCTCATCAGACTTTCTTTTGGTGACATCAATCCCCATGTTTGTTTTTTAGTGATTTTAGCCAATTATGCCTTTACCCAATTAGCATAATTATACCTAATTATATAATTAGGGTAAATATGTAACGCAATGACAATGTTCAATTATGATATGCATCGATGTCATCAAAGTTCCTATTAAATACAGTGGTGGGGAAGTGGCCCACGCGGGGGGCCAGGGATTCCTGGGCCAGCACACCACGGCCTATTGTTCGTGCAGCCCTTAAGCCTCCTGCTTTTTCAGAACCACAGCAATGATTTCACACTTTCATGGACAAAAGGAAATCTCTGCCCTAGCCCAGCTAATTCTATTTTAAAACAACAGTATGGTCTAAAAACGGAGCCTTTTTACTCAGCGTAACTCTGATTTCTGAGGTAGACAAGTGAAAAGACTGCTCGCCTATCACAGGGAATAGACAAGGTTCATTTTCAAGGAATACTCATTTTCATATGGAGAAGACTCTTTACTGGAGTGTCTCTTGACAGCCACGTGCAGGGCTCGAGCTCTAAGGCTAACAACAGCCCATGTCACCTCCAGGGAAGACCCCCAGGAATCCCATGTATGGTAGGGAAGCAGACAAACCCAACTTGCAATTTACTTTCTCAAGAACGCTGAGCGCGTTCAGACCCAGAACCGATCACTGATGGCTGAATAGTTGGGAAATTCCATTCTTTTAAGAACTTGCTTCAAAGTAGTAAAATGGCAATTTAGCCAGGATCTGCAGAAAAGCAGGTTTTATCAGGGTAGAACACCTCCCAAGAGCAATAACAAAAAAGCGGCACCTCAAGAATTAATCTCCTGCATCTACAATAAACTTTCTGTGCATCTACAGACCACTTCTGTTGACTCTATATATATAAACAAGACGGTAATGATACCAGCAATGGAAATCAGTGGAGATGAATTAAAGAAAACTCAAATCTTTTTTGTCATTATTTTGTCATTATCAACAGTGAAGTCCTCAACTGAGATTTGGCTCTGAATCTCACAGCTGCGAACGATGCAGGAGGAGGAGAAGCCCACCCTTACCTTTAGATGCTAGGCAGGCTATTGCAAGGCTGGCTAAGGAGGGGGCAGAAAGCAGAAAACACTCATGAAAAATATATTTGCTTAAGTCATTCAGAAAAATACCGTAACCCACAAATGATATTGTTCCAGTTTTGAGGTCTGAAATCTTGTTTGCTAAATTTCAGCCTGGAGTGATCTTTTTTACAGCTGGCTTCTGAAAACCTCAGAGCCGAGATCTCACAATGGAAATGCTGACATGATTCCTACTGGTCTGCTCACCCATTCAGCTTCATTTGATGAAATTTTGCTAGTAGGATTTAGTTGTGATGAGGAACCTCAAGAGGTTCAAAGGTTTAGTGCAGCTCAAGGAGTTCTCCTAGAAGTCTGGCAGACAGGCTAAACGGGGTTGCAACTTCAAGAGTCTGCAAAATAAGGAAAGAGTAAGTCTCATCTGGGCTCAGCTGAAATCCAGAGCAAGTGCCATGTTGAAAGCTGTCCAGAATTCTTCAATATATTACAAAAAAAGGTTTCTGCTTGAATTTTTAGCAAGAGTCACAGCAATCGGAAGATGTTCTCAATAGCACATTTCAGTATCTGGTACTTTCTAGGGGAAGGGTAGCCACACCATCCCTCCTGAACCACATATAGCTTTTACCACCAGCTCGGGTGCAGCGCCTGCTCTGGGTTAGCAGCTCTACGCTGGGCCCACGAGAGTGCAGGAATCCTGGTGGTGAAGGAGGCACAAGCCAGCAATGGTGCAAGGCTCATGGGCACTAGATGACCCCAAAACCTACTATTTTTTTTTTGCCCAGCCAGGCCCGTTCTGTGATGATCCCACTTACAACACAGCTTCTGCATAGGAAGAGTACTCAGGACCAATGCTTAGAAAAAGAGGATGTTACAGGAGATGCCAAGAGGCTGTATCAGAACCTGGTGCCAACATCAAGCAAAGAGGCACTGCGAGCAGCTCAACTGGAAGAGGTCGACTCCATCCAGCACGACGTGAGCTGCTATGTTGGAACCCTGCTATGTTGGAGACTGCGTTTTGCCAGCTCGCACTCCTTGGAGGTTTGATAAATGACCTATTAATTCCTTTATAGCTGTAAAATGTAGGAATCAAACGCACTGCAAAGTGCACAAACAGAAACACCCAGCCTCGCTCGGAGAGAGGAATGGCCCTGGCACAACCAGATGCCTGTGTCCCATCCCGCCTGTGCCACAGCCCATGACAACACCCTATCACTGCACCGTGGCCAAAACAACGCTCGTGAGCAAAGGAGAAAGGAGGTGAGAGAGGCCAGGGGCTCCAGGAGCACCACGGGGCTCCAGCAACACCTCCTGCCCGGCCTCTCCCAGCAGCCAAGGCATCGGCTGGGGACACGTGCCCAAGGTCTTCCCCATCCCAGGGGCACGGCTACGGCACCAACCCCTACCTTCCCAATCTGGGCACTTCAAGCAACAGGCTCGTTTCAGTTCACAGGAAGAAAGAAAAGCAGTTGGACTCATTTTATTAGCAGAGGCCTTTTTTGACATACTTTTATGCTCCTAGAGTAAATAGAAACACACAGAAAAACCCTGGAAATTCAGCAAAGAAGAAAGAAAACATCTTGGACTGCAGCAGAACGCATAAAGACAGCCAAGTCAAAAAAAGAGAAATTTAAAAGGAGAAACACAGACCAAATCTTCAGCAGAATTTACACTGAAAGCTGCTGGAATGCAACCATCAGACTTATTTTGAGTTTAAAGTCTAATTATTTTCATATAGCCTTTTTTTTTTTTTAATTTCTGCTTCAATAATAATTGTTCCACAACTTAAAAGCTGTTGCAGCTTTACACAGCAGGTTTTATACTGCCTCCCTACATGTTTTTTTTTTCCCCTGCTATTACTGATCCTTTGTAGTTTATAGCATGATTTTTTTCCCCCTTAAAAACTATTTAAAAAGAAATAAATACCATAAAATTAGAAGGAACAGGACTCCAAAATAAACTTGTTTGAGGAGTTGGAGGGCCAATACCCCGCTCTACTGCAGAGCTCTAAGCCTGTGTTATAGCCCGTGCTTCAAAGTTACTTGCTATGAAGACGTCTACTGCTCTTGCAAACAAATCCCCGTCCCTAAGTGAAGAAAGAATGGAGCCACATTATTAATAAATGAAACCAGTCTGTTATCTGCTTCCCAAGCAGACAGAAACCACCGCAGAGCCCCCCTCGCCGTGCCCCATACGCAGCCCTACGCACGCGGATCCGCGATTTAATTTCTCCAGGCTGATGTCCAATAACTCTCCCGTCCCATTTCACTCGGGCACAAATGAGTTGCTGGTTTGTACGAGTGGATTTTAATACTAACCCAAGCTGAAAACCGATATGATAATTGCAGAAGAAGATTTGCAGCTCTTATTTTATATTTCTTTGAAAAAAGGAGGAGGGGAGGGGAGGGACATTGGGGAGAGGTACGGAGAGGCAAGTCGAACACTGTCACTCTAGATGCATGAACACAACACCTTGTGCACTTGCCAGACAGACACATACCTATAGATACAAGCTTGTGTGGAATATGACCACAAGTTCGGATCTACGGGTTTGTGGCAACAGGCATTGATCTCTTCGGTTATTTGTTTATCTTTAATTTTTTTTTTGGAAGGAAAACCATTTCTGCAAATGAGAGAGCTGTTAGTAAGCAGCAGCCGTCATTCTCCTCCGCATGCTAAAACCCCTCTAATTCCGGGGGGCCGGGGGAAGATGGGGAAAGTTGCTACCGACTTTACTAGAACATCAGCTGTTACTACAGTCCCAAATCAGCAAAATAAAACAAACTCTAAAATAACACAAAGCGGGACCTGTGTTCCTTCCTCGTGGCCCCTTAGCTGCATGGAGTTCCTGGTGATCACCAGCTCTATGGGTGCACAGCTAATGGACAACGTGGTGTATCCGCAGCGGATGATTTAACGGGAGAGGTTTGCTCCGGAGGCGCAGTCGCAGCACCGAGGCATGTCCCTGCCCCACAAAAGTTGTTCTGTTTCCATTCTGGCAGCCCAGTTAAAAGAGACAGAGGAAACAACTATGTAAGAGTTGTTTTAACTTTCAGAGGAGTCATTATTGGTCCAGGGTGTTATTTTAATTCTATTTTTAAGGAAAAGAAAAATTAACTGCGAGTAAAAATCTTTTCAATTTACTAGGCAGCCTAGAAATCCCCCCTAAACTCCAAATCTCTGACTGCATTTCCACCTAAAGAAAAATAAAACTCTTTTGGGGTTTTCTAGCAAGTCTTCACACACAGTTGTGCAGCAAACTCCTGCCACTGCAAGCAAGAAGCGTCCCCTCCTTTCCCCCAGTTTCCAAGTTTCCCTTCGTGTGTAACTAACATTTGCCATTAATAGAATTTTATGAGGTGGGCAACTGGTGAGAAGTTAGGCCGACAAGCAGCCTGGCTGCAAGGCCCTAACAGAACCTGTGGACAAAATCAGTGTAACGGTCTATTGCCTAAAGTGATAAAATATGTACCCTTTGTAGTTCTTCTCTTTCTTCAGAAAGTAAAATCAATTAATGTACACTAATAGTATTCTTCATACGATTAAAGCGTGGACATTGAGAAAATAGTTTTGCTATATGGATGCTGTTAAAAAAATTCCCTCACTTTTTGCGCAGGTTCTCACTAAAAAAGAATATATATATTTCAACCTTTCCAACATGGTAAATACATAATTAGAATTAGCAACAATTCTCTGTTGCGTCTCATGACCAGAAACTCCTGTTCCTTTCAGCAATGGAGATGTTAAACTATGGTCATCTTTCTGAAGATTACCTCAAATGATGCCCTAAATGCAGACTCCCCTGCTTTTATTTACACACCTACCTTAAAAGTACACAGCTTTCCCAAAGTTTTCAAGCACCCAAAATTTCCATCCAAATCATACCAAGAGGAGAAGTTGCAGGAATCCAGCATCTTGGAAGAACCAGGAGAACTTTTATGTGGGAGCCTGAAGGCGCTTCAGGAGCACCCAGCGTGCGAAGGGCCCTGGCCCTGCAGGGTGCCAAGGGAAGGGGCGAGCGTGCGGTCCTGGCGCAGGACGGAGCCGGGTCCTGCACACGGACACGCACCGGGCGCTTCTCCAGGCCCCAGCTGCAAACAGAACACAGCAAATCTTACCCAGGAACAACCCATGCCTTCCTTCACGGAGCTCGCGTACTCCAGGGAGCCCAAGATGAAAATTCAAATCATCTTTTGCCCCTTCCAAGCTTCTAGCCAAAAACACACAGCGAGTTGGTAACATTGCTGCTGCATGTACCAGTATTTCCTGCAGCAGCAAGGAGTATTTCCATTGGATTTTTATATATTACTTATACATACTGCATCGCTGGGAATGTTTTCTTTAGGCTTGTATGAATTTTGACTTTAATATTCTTCACAGCAATGTACATATGCGAAGGTATGCTAATTGCATGTTCTTCTCTGCTGGCAGAGAAATACCTTATTTTTCAATATGAGATAGGAAAGTAAGTTAAATTATATGGAAATTAATTTTTTTACTAGCTTTTCCTCCTCCTAAGCCTTTATTTGCCCTTTGTAGCTCACAATCTCCCTTTCTAATTGCTGTGACAGTTCACGTCCTTGGAGGAAATGGAGATGCAAGGTTTGGGTGGCCTGTACGTACCTCCTCGTGGCAGGACACGTGGCCTCAGCTCGTACCGGTTTGGATGGGGCTTGCAGGCACCCCAGACACGTCAGCAACGGCTCTTCATGACTGAATTATCTCTTTTCAGGCACAGCACTAAGCCAGATCTTCTAAGAACCCATCACATAGTTGTAAGGGCAGATGATAGGTGCTCTCCCATAAAGAAAACCCGCCCTTTACTTATTCCCTAAATGAGCGGCAGCCTCTGCTGCAATTCTGGCCTATCATCTTCTATTCTCATGCTACCTGATTGGCTTTCACAAAAAATAAAAATAAAAAATAAATAAAAAATGCTGAATGTAATAGCTCCACTGCTGTAACTATAGTTGTTAAAAAAGGAAAAAAGAGAAAAGCAGAAAGCAGCAATAGCTGTCACTGGAAAAGCAACTATGCATGTCAAAGCAACACTGCTTATCACTCAGGCAAGTCCCCACAATAAATGTGAGGGATTTATTGCTCCTGCACGGCTGCGCGCTGCAGGGACAGGCAGCTCGGGCGCACAGAGATTACATTTAGTGACACCTACATGCTGCAAAGGACAGGTGTCCAGGAACCAACCTATTCCTATTCATACATTTTGCAAAACAAACTCATCATAGGCAATTTTTGAAAGAGTGAACTGATCGAGGCAGCAGCAAATGAATAGGATTTTGCTTTTTTGAGAGGTTTGTGATTTTTTTTGGAGTAGACACTGCTCTTTTAAGAATGATTTTCACATACCAAATACATTCATATTCAGGGAGATAGAGCTGTAGATTATCCAAGATTTAGGCTTTGAAGCATTTCCTCATATTGATTAATCATACAGCTATTGTATATTTTGAATTCCTAATAAACATGCAGACAGTGGCAGAAAATCTATGGTAAGCAAACAAATCAATTGTCTTCACTGCCTATTTGCCTAGAATGATAAGATGGCAAATAAAAAGCTTCAACCTGTACATTAAGGATTGTGTTATTTATATTAAGGATACTGATATTCTTATATTCAGTATATTTCACTACTAATTTTAAAACATACCAATGATTGCAACATCAACTAGGTTTTGCTTCTAGAACCTGGGACACCAAAAGGAGTAATAAAGCTTTGTTTAATATTAATCCGATATAAGACTAGCATTTCTAGATTTACAGCCAAAGGAATACAGAAGGAAACATGTAGAAATAAAGTCTCTAAAGACATAACATTGGTTTTGGTCTGCGGGTGGTATTCTTGCAAACCACAAAGCATAAATGCCCTGTCCAGGAAAATCGATCATTATGGAATGCACTGTGTGCCCGAGCAAAGAGCTGTTTGCAGCCATTTCATACCTCAGCCATGAAAATGAGACAAATAAAAACACGACCACTAAATTCCTATCCTCTCCCTCTATCCTTTCCCCTCAGTTTTAATTCCAATCTGTTTAGGCCTTATATATACATATACTATATATATATATATAAAATATACATATACACACACTAACTCAGGTTTAAAAACCTTTACAAATGGATTGCTGCACTCTGCATAATTAAAGAAGCTGTAAGGAAAAAGGGAAGGCTAAATGGAGAATCTAAGAGAAAGCAAATTACCTCGGTAGCAGCATTTACAACATTTCTTATCGAACGTGCGCTGCCATATTGCTAGGCCCAACTCTTCACGAAACGTTCCCTGGAAGACAAAATATTATGGATATTTTCATGGCAAATTTTCAAAAGATGGATTCTACCTACACATACCCAGAGGATACAGTTTCAGAAGCAAAAAGAACAGGCGATGTCCTGAGAGAAATTGCTCCCCCCCACCCCGATACACCACTTTTTCCTTTTTATTTTTTGAAAATTATTTTCCATGTTACACCTTGGATCAATCCATACCTGCCCCCCCTCCCCGACAAGAGTCAAATCTCAGGAAATAAAACATTTCTTTTAAGACAAACATTTCAGAATTTTGCCAATTCTATTTCCACCAAAGCGATTAAGGAAAATAAAGCACCGTGGAGCTCGAAGCAGCACCCGCGTTCCTGGTCAGAGAGTTACACACACCAACTTCTCAACTGATTAGTTATCACATCTAGCGCCTTACCCAATTCCAGTCCGATAAAACAGAAGCAAAGAGAAGGTTCGTTACCTGCTTTGAGAAGGTTCACCAAGCATTTTAAGCTTTTTGACTCTTTTAACACTGATACAAGGAATAATTATTTCTCTCTGCCGATGCGATTGTTAAAAGAGGAGAAACCCCGGATTGTGGTGGCTCCGTGGATGCTATTCTTTTTGCACCACAGCAGGATTCTTGGCTGCCAGTCCAAGCTGCTTTCACTTGCCAAGTTTTAAGATGCCGGTTTTGCCTTTCATTTTATTGTTCCTTTCGCAACGTTAAAGACCGACTTAAAAAACCATGCACAGCTGCTATTGGGGAGGGGGGGAATTATTTGAATTTTGCACAAGAATGGAGACGAGGACGGCGCGCGCTGTGATGTAACCACAACGACACCCACAGAAATATGCCCAATATTGGGGGGGACGGACTCGCGCTCCGAATCCCAGCGCTTCCCGACAGCGCAGTCGGGATGTAGCGAAGAGCAGGAAATAACAAAAACCTCCGCATCTACGCGCCCCCCAGCCACATCCGAGGTGGCGGCCCATGCTCCCGTCCCTGCCCTGCTCCCATTTTCCAATGCTCCGCTGCGAGGCCGGGGGGTTTGGTGGGGGGTTCTTGGCAGGTGCAGGACCGGAGCGCTCATCCCACCGGCGCCGCTTCCCGCGGGACTCGGGCCGGGCCAAGCGCCCCGGCACCTCGGCAAAAGCGCCCGGCAAAACGGAGCGCCGGGAGCGACGCCCCGCATCCAAACCACGCGCCTGCGGTCGCCAAGCGCGCCTCGGTTTATTCACTTTGCTCTTTTCCTCTTGTTTTTTTTTTTTTTTAAAGGAGATAGCACAAGAAGGAAGACGGGAATAAATTTATAAGCCTCCCACTTACAGAGAGCTTGTGATTTATTTTCTTTTACTCGACGCAGCCACAGAAACCCCGGGCCCGCTCCCAAAGCCCAAGGCCGCTTCGGCGAGGCGCTTGGGACCCTCCTCGGACGCGAAGGCCGCGGAGCAGCAGGAACGGGAGGAGAGGCCGCCCGCGTGCACCGCTCCGTGCGGGACACGGGACGCGGGACGCGGCGCGGGAGAAGGCGCAATGGAAAACGCTGCACCGGGAAGGCAGCCTCGGCAGAGACGGCGACACCCCGGAATACTCGGGTTTTCGGGGAAAAAGCGGCAGACTGCAGACGACTTAAAAGTTCCTACGAAAACCAACAGCCTTAAACAAAAGCAGAATGAATTAGTAAGGGGGAGAGGAAAACAGAAGCTTTGTTCTGAAGTGGAAGCCTAAGATGTGAAATTTCCAAATCAGATGGCTCGGTCTGTGATTTCTTTCATTTAAATGAATTGATCTGTTGCTAAACTGCAGCTCCTGTGCCAAGAAACTTTTAACTCTTTCGGCTCAAGCCTCCCAATGTTTTGTTATTTTTTTTTCCCCTCCCAAGTATACTACAATGAAATTAGAAAGCATAAAATCATAACAAAGGGGGAAATAAAACCCAAAAGCATTAAAAAAAAGAAAAAAGGGGGGGGATTAGACCCACAAGCACATGCAGAACACAAAAGAGCCACGATATGCAGCGTATCGGTGCTTCGTTACAACTTCTACTGTATAAACAGCGTGATTCTTGTTCTGACAACGGTGCTAAGACTTGGAAAGGAGACAGAGAGGCCTCCAACCTCCACGATCCTACGGACAGCGGGAGCGCCGGGGCGACCCCCGCCGAGCCAGGGCTAGCGGCAGGAAAACCACCGGGTCCCTGCCCTGATCCACTGCAAACGTTCACTTACCGAGAACGCCCCAAGCACTTCCAACAGAACCCCCTTCCTACACGCGTTCACCCTCACGAAAAAGAGGGGAAAAGAGAAAAAAAAATAATAAGCAGCTGCTTTGGTAAAATTTGGGTGAGAGTTCCTAGCGCTTTTCCGTTTAGTTTGGGATTTGTTTTGCCCACCAAAAGAAAAAAGGCAGAAAAAAAGAAGAAAAATTAATAAAAAATAAATAGATATGTCGTGATTAAAGATAATTCCGGGGGAAAAATATTTATAAGGAGAACAAACAAAAAAAATACACGTATCTAGGTGTCTATATCTCTCACTTTGCCGTTCTGCAGCAGTTCCCCCTAAACTGCTGCTGCTTGCTCCAATCTGCTGCCTGCTTAACAACGGAATGACAGGCAACATCTGTTTGTATAGAAGCCAAGATCAAGCCTTCACCATTTTTTTGGCTTAGTTTCTTTTCTTTTTTTTCTTCTTTTCTTTTTGCCTACCCCTCTCCCCCCCGAAAAGCTTTAAAGAAAAACGAAGTAAAGTAAAAGTGCACGGCGCAATTTTGGAAGCGACTTAAGCGCGGCAGCGCCTATTTTCCCGAGTTATCTCAAGGTGCAGCCCTTGGAGACTAAGTCTTTGCACTCTCTCCACCTGCCGTCCCCTCCTTCCCTCCTCTCCCCACCCTCCAGCCTCTCGCCTGCCCCACGCTATTAATAAAGTAACATACAAACTCCAAAAAAATATATATATCCAACATACCTTGATCACTAAAAGGCCACTCCTCCTATGGGAGGGAGGGGGTCTTCAGGAGACAACTAAAAAAGCTTCAAAGGGGAGGGGAATAGCAGGACGGTTCAGGGGATAGTCCTGCTATGGTCCTCTCCCCCTCTTTTTTTTTTTCCTCATTTTTAGCGGCTATAAAATATATGGTGCCTATTTTCAAAATAAATTTGTTGGAAATAAAAATATACGGAAAAAAAAAAAGTAAAAATCAGTCCGGATCCAAGCACAATTCAAGTGACTAACAATGTCAGCCCGCTGCCAATTCTGTGGCAAATCGGGAGAAAGCACAACAATTCCCCATGCTGAGATGTGAACAACTGGAAAGAAACCAACTCTGGAGAAGTCACAATGCAAAGTCTCGCGGCGCCCCCACCCCCAGCCCCACGGCCACCCCTCGGCGCGGCGCCCCGGCACCCTCCTCCCCCGAGGAAAAACAGGAAAAATTAACCCGCTAATTTAACAAAAGAAAAGGGGGAAAAAAAGAAAAAATGAGACCAACAATCGCCGCTATTTAAAAACTCGGGGAATGTTTTATTCACTGGCGATTTGGGACAAGGCTCCTTGCGCTCACACACACCCCCCACGTGAAAAAAAAATTTTTTAAAAAAAATCAGACAAGTTGCTAGGGAGACTTGTGTAAACTCCGCACACAGGCACATTTCTGGCCTTTCCCCCTATATTCCATCTCGTATTCTGATCACGCACCACTGCGGCACGATTGCACCAATGCACTGCATTAATCTTGGCCTTAAACGGGCTGCCTGGCAGAGCGAACCGAGTGTATATATCATCTTTCCAACTTAACAAGTTGCAGGGAGCGGGGCTGGCGGCGGGTGGGGAGCGCCGGGGGGGCGGGATCCTTCGTCCTGAATATCAAATATAGGAGGCGAGCTCAGGAAGGGAGTTTTAAAGAGGAAGGGGTG